TAGTCAAGCTTACAAATAACCTAGAAAAGTAAAAATAAAATAACAATAAGATTATTTCACACTTACAAATTGGCAAAAATGTTAAAGTCTGACAATATTAAACATTAATGAGAATGTGAAACTAGAGATGTTTATTCACTAAATATTGTAAAGTATCTATGAACTTTAACAGATGTATAAATTCAGGCACCACCACCCAAATCAAGATACAAAATTCTCTATTCTATCTCCTTTGTAGGTACACGATCCACCTACCCATAATTTCTATTTGTGGTATATTTTCCATTGATTTTTACTTCCTGTAATTTTCCAAATATATAAGCACATTACCTGGAAGTTAAGATAGCCTTTCCATCCCTAATCCTTATGTCTCTAACTGCTTTGTCTTATTTCATTTCTTTGACTTCCAATACAGTGTGAACTAGTATGGTATTAATTCCTTATCCATTTTTAAAATTGGATATTTATCTTTATCTTGGATTTGTAAACATATATAAAATTTCCTATGGTTTTAAAATGTTTCAAACTTGGCAAAACAAGAAATCAAAGTGCATCTATTATAAGAAGGATTTTACCTAATGAATGCAGTTAGTGTAAACTTTAAAAAAAAAAGTACATTTTGGGGGATCCAGAATGATCATATGGTCTTTGTTGTTGTTTCTCTTTATGTGATCAATCACATCCATTTGCATATGTTGGAGCATCCTTGTATCTCTGGGGTGAAGTTTTTGGTAGATTTTTTTTTTGATGTGCTACTGAATTTGGTCTGCTAATATTTTATTGAGGATTTTTACACCTATATTCATAATGGATGTTGATCTGTACTCTTCCTTTTGTGACATGTCCTTTCCTGGCTTTGGTGTACAGGTGATATCAGCTTCATGGAATGAGTTGAAAATTTCTTCTCTGTGTTACAGAATAATTTGTGAGGTTGAGTGCCATCTCTTCTTTGTAGGTCTAGTAGAATTCATCCACGAATCCATCTGGTCCAGGGCTTTTTGTTGTTGTCGTTGTTGGAATATTTTTTATTACTACTTGGATTTTATTGTTTGCTATTGGCTGTTCTGAGATTCTCTTTCTCCCTGATTGAGTCTTGGAAGGTTATGTGTGTCCAAGAATTTTTCCATGTCTTCTGCTTTTTTTTCTAGTTTATGAGCACAGAGATTTTTGTAGTATTCATGAACGCTGTTTTGTATTTCTGTGATATCAGCTGTAATATCTCCTTTTTCATTTTTGATAGAGCTTCTACAACCTCTATGGAAAAAGTATGAAGATTCCTCAAAGAATTAAAGTAGACCTATCATTTGATTGAGCAATTCCACTATTGGGTATCTACAAAAAGCAAACAGGCCATTCTATGAAAAAGACACCTGTACTTGAATGTTTATAGCAACACAATTCACAATTGCAAAGATGTATAATCAACCCAAGTGCTCATCAGTTCATGAATGGATTAATAACACAGTATATGTACATCATGTAGTACTAGTCAGCCATAAAAAAAGGATGATGAATGCCTTCGGCAGTAATTTGCATGGAAATAGAGACCATTATCCTCCTACATGTAGTAATTATCTCAAGATTAGAAAAACAAACACCACATGTACTCATTATTAAACTGGAACTAACTCATGAGCACACATGCATGGGGAAAGTAAAACTCAGTGGAAGTCAAGCAGGAAGGGGGAGAGGAAAGAAAAAAAACCTACCTAATGACCTACCTAATAGCTGACAAACACTTTTTGGGTGATGGGCAAACCTATATCCATGGCTCAAGCATTACTAAAGTGAGCTACATAACCAAAAACATTTGTACCCCTTAATATTTTGAAATTTAAGAAAAGAAGGCAAAATGATCTTCAGGATTATAAAATGCTATTATTTCAAAGCTCAAGTAAATTAATAGGTACACAGTTAAAGAAATTAATGAAGAACCAAGCTCTCCAATGAAATATTATAAATTTGCCACTTACATTCTCTAAACATTGCCAGAATATTACTCACATTACCCAGTTTGCATTTTTTAAAAATTAAGTTTAAATAAAACTAAAACCTAAAAATGTAATGGCTGTGCACTATGAAATGATTTCAAAATATGTAATATTTATCTACATTTCTCCTAAATAATTAAAGCCACTTTGATTTTTATATAACTGTTATAAATTTACACAATTTACCTAGACACTCTGAATGCCCCCATTGTAAGCAAATTTCTTTTAGATTTAAGAAAAATGAGCAGGATCACAGTGATCTTTCTATAAAGGAAATTATCACTGAGATCAAGGCATTCATAGGGTTAGTTCCTCCTGAAGGTGTGAGGGAGGGATGTGTTCCAGGTCCTACCCCTTTACTTGTAGATACTTGGCTGTCTTCACAGTCACATGACATTATCTTTCTATGTGTGTCTCTGTGTCCAAATTTCTTTTCTTTTCTTTAAGGAAC